AATTCATTTCTTCCCCTAATATTACCCAAAGATGTTGTTTGCCATCAAAATTGCAGAGAAAGTAAATGAATGGTTAAAATCATTGATTGATATGTTATTTGTTGTCAAATATTTGTTATAAAATGCTCTACTTATCACTCAAACCAAATCTATTTGTTATTCTCGTTATTATTATTATTATAATTGTCTGCTTTTGATTACAATTTTATTAATCATTTACTATATTTAAAATTTACATTAAATTTATAAGTATTTTAAATTTTTTATGAAATGTTACAAAAAAATTACAATACATACAAATCTGTAAGCCTTTTATTATATGAAAGTTTGCATAATATTGTTATTATGGATATTCTCTCTAATTAGTGATTAAATTTAATATTTTGTACTCAAAATCACACAAAAGGTTACAAAAAATGATTGTTTTTACAATTTTTAATTATTTTCCTCTAATATATTATATTTAAATGTTTTTTCTATTGTTTTGTAAATAATTTATTTAATTTTACGCTCAAATAAATGAAACCAAACTCTTAGTAAATATCGACTTGTATTTGAAGTATAATTGATATCAATTTATTGCAAACATTATTACTATATTAATGATCACATTCATTGTATAGACCATTATTGATACATCAGATACTGGATCAGGTAATCATCACTTCATTGACAATAAATGGCCTTTTTAACAGGTATTATAGCAAATCCCACTTAATTTTAATAAATACTTATCTATAATGTATACGATTAAAAAAATATTTAATTGTTTACTGTCTATTGTTAAGAATATTAATACCGTAAATTCTTTAAAAAATATAACAATAAAATAGTATTGTTTTAATAACAAAACGTTACAATTTGTTTGAATTTTAAATTATTAATAAAAATACGTTAAAATAGTTTGAAAATTATAACAAAAATATTGATTGAAATTCAATTCAAAATGAGTACTGAAAAGAGTGACAAAATTCTTAAGACAATTGTCTTGAATAACGATTTGGTTATTGATATCTTCTCACACCTGGAGATACATGAGTTGATACCTCTGGAGAGAGTCTCACAACAGTTCCAAAAGTGCGCCGATTATCGGTTCCGACAGCAGAAGACCATAGCATTCAACAAACCCTTTAAATTCAACGAATATATTATGAAAAATGATATGATTTTCAATTCATATGAGTTTCCGAAACGCTTTCTTGTAATGGATTCAAATGGAAAGCCGTGTCTTATCGGTAGTAAAGAGCGGATCCTATGGTTGGCCCATAAGTTACCAAACATTCAGTATTTAGCGATCACTCACTTCGAGACCAATTTCAAGACAATCTATGGAATTCTCAAAGCATTTGAATCAATCAAATCGTTATTCTTATGCATTTCTTATGACTTTACAAATGAAGAGATGAGACAATTGGGACAACTCTTGTCGGGAAGAATCACACAATTTATGGCAAATTGTTTCTCCCATTCGAAGAACACAATTGAATTGATCCGAGAATTGAAAGAACTCACAAAACTATCTGTAAATCATAGCGGAAACGAACAAATCGTACAATTATTTCAATGTTTGCCCAAAAGTATTAAATGTTTCAAACTTTGCTCGAATTCATACATTTATATCGAAAGCGAATTAATGGAGGAATTGTTGGCCACAAATGCCCGACAATTGGAGTATTTTTATTTCAATCGATTCGTATTAACCTCTGAAGCGTTGAAACTCGTAATGAATGGCATGTCTTTGAAGGGATTTGGATATATTCCACATTATAATATCAATCAATGCCTACAAAGTGTGGCCCAAAAGCAATTAAATCTCGTAAATCTAGAGATATTTTGTAAAATATTTGCGAAAAATGAATTCATTGGACAATCGATTCGCTTCTCAAATGTGAAAACACTTTCTCTATTACACATCGGTTTTATGAGTGGATATGCCTTCGAGTCTTTTCTCAAGTGTTTCCCGATTCTCAAAACTCTTGTTTTATTTGCTGTATTTATCAATTGTGAAGCCAATGAAGACAATTGTTTGACATGTGTTAGACAAACATATCATTTAATCGGAAGAAACACTTCAATTAGAAAATTGTGTGTTTTTATCGATAGTTTGGCCAAAAAAAGACACGTTTTGTGTCAACAAATGCATGAATTTGTGAATTTATCATCAATTGATTTAATGAATTACTACGGATACGATCGACAGAAATACACAGACTTTTGCAAACAATTCATCAATGATTTCATTGATTGGTCCGAAAGAGACTCCAAGAAGTTGTTCACAATTCATGTCTATAAAGATATTAAAGAAAATCTATTAGTCGGACAACAAATGCCAAGAAATTTGAAAATTAGCAAAAGTTTGTAATAAAAATATTTAATTGATTGTAAATTCAATTAAAAATTATTGATTGCTATTAATCTGATTATTAATTATTATTTTACACAACAAATATCTTACTCTTAAACTGAATAAAAGAAACTTTGATTCAAAATAGTTTATAAATAATTGTTTTGTTTAAATCAATATTTATGAAAAATTGTAAAATTCAACTAAAATTTAATCAATTATATGAAACTTGAATTCTTGTGATAAATATTTAATTATGAAATGAATTACAAATCAAGTGAACAAATCTTACATTAAATTTAAAGCAACGAATGAATGAATATTTTTTACAAATAACAACAGAAACTAATTTACAATTAAGTTATTGAATGAATAGAAAACATATTTTAAACACAAAAAGGATAACAAATTGTTTGAATACTAAATGAATGAAAATTAACGTCAAATTAAATTATAAACAAATTATTAAACAATTCTTAAGACAAAGAATTAGTTATTGAATGGATATCTCTTCTTACGTCTGTTGAGACCGACTCTGAGCGGCATTTTGCGAAACTTTGGCACTTTTATCGGATCCAAAGCCATCGGATACGGGACCACCGGTTGCGGCACTTCTTCGGCGGTCACCAACTCTTCGATCGACGACTCGCTCGACGTGTGACTCGAGGACTGCGAAGACGGCGGCGACGAGTCCTCCGAAGTGTCGATCGCTTTGAGCGACTTATCGGACAATTGGGGCACAACTGAGTCGTCGCTCACGTCATCGATAGCCGCGACCGCTCTCTCAGTGACCACCGGAGCGGCGGAAGTGGTAGCGATGGCCACCACAGCGTCGGTCGCTTTTATCGGATCCAATCCATAGGCGACCACTGGTTGCGGCACTTCTTCGGCGGTCACCGACTCGCGCGACGTCTGACTCGACTTTTCGGACAATTGGGGCACAACTGAGTCGTCGCTCACGTCATCGATGGCCGCGACAGCGCTCTCAGTGACCACCGGAACGGCGGCAGTGGTAGTGATGGCCACCACAGCGTCGGTCGCACCCAAACCGGAGTCCCATTCGTCCGCACGTTTGTCGCCAACGCTTTTGACGGCCAGACGCGCCACGTCTTCGGCGAACACTTGAAAGTCTTCGCTGACATCGAGTGACAGACAGTTGTCGTCCATATTTGGCACCAATTGATCGCCACAATCACCGCCGCCGTCGTCGGTGTTGTCCTCCCGTCGGGTCTCCTCTTCTTCTTCTTGTTGTGGCTGTGATTGTCGTCCAATCGATGTCTGGTCTGAGGCGTCGACAACGCTGTTCACCAATTGTCGGACCAATTGTGCGATCGCTTCGGACACGAGTGGATCGACGTCTTCGGCGACAACGCTATCATCTGATGGTCTCTTCAATGGATTGACTGAACTGTCGGTCCGAACGGACGGCACGTCTGTGTCGGCGAAGAGGTTGTGCTGAGCGGACCGGCGCTGCCATCGACTCACCACAAGAGCCCACTTCTGACTCATCGATATGTCGGACGAGTCGGACATCAAATTCGACATAAAGTCAGACATTGTTTTCGACTTTGCGTTCAATTTGTGGTCACTTTTCACTCACTTTTGGCTTTTGTTTACGTTTTTAGTTGTGATTCGAATTGAGTGCCGATTCTGTGCTCCGAAATACTCGGCCTCTCATTGGCTGACAGTTTGTGCGCCAAATGTGGCGAAACATAAATGACGTCCGAATGAAATGCACGGCAAAAAAGACACCACTTTTTGCGTCCCTTTAATCACACATTAATTGCTATTTAAAGTCAATTAATAATTGATTTTGTAATTAATTTTCAAACAATTACTACTAATTGTGTGTCTAATGTGTAATTTTTTTTATTGCATTTTATATTAGTTTAATTGTATTAATTTAATTGTGATTTTTTTAGAAAATAGTTTTAATGACTTTTCTGATGATTTCATACATTAATTAATTGTTGTTTAATTTAATAGATATAAAACTGTAAAACATTTGCTTTCAATTTCATATTATAGTTAAGAAACGATTCGTTCATTCATTCAATTAATTATTTAAATTACAGTCAAATATATTGTAATCAATAATTTCCTAACATTTTCTTAAATAATAAAAATAATTAATTAAAAATTAAAACCTAATAATAATTTGTGTTTTAAATATTGTAATTAATAATTATAAGAGTTATTAAATTATTCATAAAAATAAATATTTCTATCAAACAAAAGCACAAATAGAGAAGTGTTACCAGAATTGAAACACAAACTGACAGTAAATACGCTATAATTTAATGAATAAATAAATAAATTAAACAAAATTAAAGTCTAAATTGAGACAAAAAATAATTAAAGAAAAAGAGATGAAAAAAATTAAAACAGTAAACAAAATCAAATACAAAATAAGACATAAAAGTTTGTATATTAAGAGAATTTCATGCAATTATAATAATAACAGAATATATAATGAATTACAGAATGATAGCAAAGAATCACAAAAAGAGAGTAAAATGAATAAAACAAATACACAAAAATAAAATCAGAATCCAATCGACAAATCAATTCAATGAACAAAAATAATCCAAAAAAGAGTTGGTTTTGAGTAAAACAAGCGAAGCAGTGGTGGAACTGATGGAGTGATCAATAGAGTAGTATTCGTTTCTCAATAGAGTTGCGACAAATGGGACAAATGGACATCCGGTCGCCGCACATCTGACACGCCCCGTGACCGCACAGGAAGATCATGTCTGTAACAAACAAAGTATATATTAATAAAACCAAACAAAATCAATACAATTTATATGAGAAAACTTTTTAATAAAAAACTACTTTTATAGCCCTTTGAAAAATATATCCATTTATTTTCAAAAGGATTTAAAATTCAGTCCAAAACTAAGACCACTACCACTTCTACCAATACATATCCAACACATATCCAACACTTTTCCCTTTCAATCCCTTCCAGAGGCTCTTTAAGCCATCAATAATTTCGATACCGTATATACCCTGACATGAGAGGTATGTATTAAATTCTATGACATAATAAAGAGTAATGTCTTTGGCTGTAGTGGTAGTGATAGTAGTGTTTGGCGGACATCAAGTTATGCCATAGGATTATAGAGATTGGATTCGTGCAAAACTGGTAGCTTTAAGACATACTTTTGATGCGATCCAAACAGACCGGACACATAGTCTGGTCTTTAATGTCCTGCAATTGTTGCTGCAGTTTCTGAATGTCATTATTGGTGACATCGCGGGCGCCGTTATTCATAAACGAGCCGATAATCTGGGCGTTAGTGGCGTTTCCGGCGCTGTTGTTGTTGTTGTTGTTATTATTGTTGGCATTACTGGTGGCGTTGTTGAGCATGAGTTGGGGCGGCGGCGGAGCTGTGCCTCCGCAGCACACGATGAATGGCACGACTTGATCGATGTTCGCCCGGCATTGGACACACTTCTTCATGAGTGGCGCACAGCCTTCACACGCGCACAGATGGTTACACGGCTGGTGTGGGGGAGAGACAATCGATCCGTGTTTTAGTATTAATATATTGAGATTACACTCTCGATCACAACTAATCCATACCTTAAATAAAATGCTTGACTTCTTGTCAGAACAGACTAAACACTCTTCGATCTTATTCCTCGACTGAACCACTTCTTTGCATATCAAACACTTCTTCACTCTAATAGACAATCAAATAATCAATTTATTATGTATTTTGTTATGAATTTAGATTAGATTTTATGCAATACTTTGTCACAGAATTTAAATATTGCTTTAAATATAAGAAGTGATTAAAATTAAAATAAATTATGTTTTGTCAGTAAATCACAAAATGAATTAATAAATAAATAAATGTCTGAAATACGGAATATTTGTTTTGATAACGAGTGAAAAATGCGAGAGAGAGAGAGAGAGAGAGAGAACAAAAAAGTTTAAAGAGTGTGAGAGAAGTAAACGTATTTAAAAATAAATGCATAAAAAAGGAAAGTAAACTATTGGTGCTGTGATTGGCCTCTACTTTAACTACAGGAGCACTACATTTGCAAATTCACTCAAAGGGAAGATCAGGAGTTAGAGAATGCATAAGAGAGAGCAAAGAATAAGAAAATTTGAGTGATTGAGAAATGCGAGAGAGAGAGAGAGAGAGAGAGAGAGAGAGAGAGAGAGAGAGANATTTCTTTTCTCGTATGACTTTCTGTATGAAAATGTTATGCAAATACACTGTATATGTATTCATATTATAATATCGTTGAGAGTCTCTCTGGTATTACAAGAATATAGTAATATCTAAATAATTCATCAAATAATATACCAATAAATATAATCATAAGTTAATGAAATGGAAGTCAAAAAAGCAAATCACTTATTGATTGATCATTTGAATAGTTAAATACATAGTGTTTTGCAAGACTTTAATATATGACATATATCTCAGGATTTATAGATTATATTTATTTATAACAATAAATAAATATATGGAAGAATTATGTATCAACTAATTAATGTGAATGTTATAATCATATACATAAAGCCACTTAATATTCACTAAGAATTCAATCCAATTTTAGTAATTAATACCAAATATACATTTCAATATATTTTCACTTATGATTTCTTTCCATAAATAACCCCAAAAATGTTGGAATTTAATTATGTTTTATAGCTTAAGATTAACGTTATCTCAAATGACCAATCTAATTTTTCAACTACTTTTGCTTTTTGTTATAAATTTGTGCTCAAAATTGGTTTTTAATGACAAAAATCAATTACTCTTAATGTTTGGTTGACTAATATAATGGATATAATTTATATCATATAAATATCATGTCTTTGTTTCGTAATAATTATAATAAATATTCAATAACTGTCGACTTAAACACTGCATTCATTATAGCATAACATATTATATATTGAATTACTTAAATAATTGCACTTAAATTCATAATTCAATAAAACATATAACGATATAATAGTGTTTAAGTCAATAGACATTGAATGGCATTTCAATAATCAAAATTGAACTCAATATTCAAACCAATTGTTGTGTTCGGTTCGCCAATTAAAAACCAAACTCATCTCAATAACTTTGAATTGGGTGTGAATATAATGATAATTAATGAGCAAAATTGTTCGGATTTAATCAGGATAAAAATATTTATATATATAAATAAAAATTAAATATAGATTATCTGTATATAATATCTATACGCCTACCGGAATATACATATTATGTTTTAACTTATATTTAATTTAATAGTAATTAATTCGTATACTTTTGACGATCAATTAAAAAATATTATCATTATTGTTGTTATTATAATAATATGTTTAATGATTAGAAAAATTAATTATCATTTCTATATTCTCTATAGAAAAATAAGCGGCGATTAATATATCAATAATTGAAACAAAGAATTAATGTTTAAAAATTCAATTTAAAAATATATTTATATTTAATTAATATGTATTTCGGTATTTATAATGTTTTATGTGTTATAATGACTGCCAAATCAAAGAGTGATTTGTATTATTCAATATATTATATATAATGACTACTGTAAACGACTTATCAATAGCTGTTCAGTCCATTCAGTTTGACTCAATCATCATCGGGTCGTCTTGAGGGAGGGGTGGCCTCCGTTTCTCCGCTTCGCTCTCGACGGCCGCCGTCGGGACAGTCAACGACGCGGTGCTCGCGGACCGGACAACACCCGAGTGAACGGCACCCCCTGTGCCGCCAATTTGATCGCCGGTGCCGTCAATACTGCACTCTTCGTCGTCGTCGTCGAAGTCGATATCGTCGGCGATGTCTTCGCAGACAATGGTCGGCTGTCGTCGCGGGATCTTCTGCTGGTCCTGTCGTTCCTTCAGATGTATTTGCGTCAGTCTTGACGACAATTCAATGGATTCTTGGGTCGATTGCGGCCCCGATTGGGATGCGCTCGAGTTGTTGGGCTTGAAGTGATTGG